CCGCCACTGTGAGAAGCCAGGGACTAAAGACTTCCGCGTACCAGAGCGATCACGGTGGCGGTGGTGGGCTCGATGACAGTAGCGGTCACGGTGGCGATAATGTCTTCTCACATCAACAACGCGGTGGTAGCAATCAGTTTGAAAAATCGCATAAGCACATCGTAAACGATGCATCGATTATCCCGTCTGGTACGTCTGGAAGAAGCGTTACTCTTGGCAGCGGTAGTTGATGAGGATGAGCAGCAGCAAGAAAGGAAATGATTTCTTTTATTGTGTACAATTGGAGAAATTTGAGAAGTTATTACAAATATTAACATCGCAATTAATATATTGTGACGTGACGGTGCAACGCTCGGTAAACACCCCGTTCCCCTCCCCCGTGGTGACGTAACAGGGGACACCGCGTTTGCTATGCAGCAATAAACAACTCTCGGCAGCTTTGCTCAGCAACGCCACGTTAAGCAACAGTGGTATTTATCACGTAACTGTTTTCTGTGTTGTCCATGCCGAGGCTAAAGAAGGAGCAGCGAGCACTATTCAGGAGGATTAGGGTGGCATGATTTATTATTTATTGTTATGCCTGTCGTTGTGGGTTTTTTGTATATTTAAATTTCTATTTGTCCGTGTCTATTAAATATATTTAAGTCTAGGTAAGCCAAATTTTTTAAACACTTTAAAAGTCCTAATACACGGGAGGCTGCTGTGATGGTGAAAAGTTGAATATTGTGTACATTGTGTATTCCAGGCATTATGTGTGTATGTAATTTAGCAATCAGAACACCTATTGCGATGGTGGTTTCTGAATAAGTATTGATGTTCCCTCTGGAAATGATCCGTAAGTGTGTGTGTGTCTCTGTCTCTGTCTCTCTCTCTCTCGCGCGTTCTTTCAAGTCTCAATTCTGAGACAGTAAAATATGGTCGCGAGTCCCAAGAAACTCGGACCCGAGAAAGACTGCGCTGGCAAGAGTCAGCAGCATATACAAAAGACAGATCCGTCCTCTCATCAGAGAAGGCGCCACAAAGAAACAAGACCATAACTGTCAAACGATAATAATTAATATCTGGTCATGAGCCCCAAATGGGCTCGACACCAAGACTTACTGACTGACTGACCGTCAGTCGCAATGTAACTCTGACTCTGACTATTCAGGAGGAGTGAGTGATTAGTTTTTGAGTAGTCAGGATTGAGCCAGTTACGAGTGAGTTACTAATGAGTAACGATTAAGCAGTCAGTTGAATTGTAGCAGTCGCCGAGAGCAGTGGATGTAATTGTGATATTGCCGATAGCAGTAATTATGAGACTGTAAATTGTATAATTGAGAGAGCGAATGTGCAATAAATTCGCTATATTCAATATGGCGTGAAGTTATTTATCGCGTTATACACCCAACACGCGACAATATATTGATCAATATATTTTTCAGAAAGAAGCGTAAGAAAATGTGAATTCACAACTTTAATCTGCTTCGTGAACATGAAGGAAAATTTCACATTTTATATCGGCAACTACGGCAACGTGAAGAACGATTCTATATTTACTTTCGGGTGCCAATTGAATGCTTCAATGATCTACTGAGCCTAATTAAGGGAGATATTATGTAATTTTACTTCTTCAATAAGTTGCTCTGTTGTTGTACTCGTTGTTCATGCTAACACACAGCGACGCGGGCAGCGGTCAAACTCGACAAACTGTATCTGATCGCCGCCGCGGAGTAGAACGCTGCACTGTCCGGAACGCTGCCCGCAAGATCGCTCTCTGTCTGAAAGCGTCTTTAAGTTCAGCAGTTAAATATCTGATCGGCACCGCCATCGCCCCCGCCGCCTCAACCTTGATCGCTCTGGTGCGTGTGAGCCTTTAACCGCTTCAGGCGCTTGAGTTATGGCTCGGCTTACGTAAACTTTTCAGTGGTGTTACCAACATGTTGCATAACTATACTGATCTTATATTCGAAGAGATTATGTATCGATTAAAAAACATGAATCAATAAGAAATGAATGTATTGTGCACAATGCGCATTATTTTTCGTTCGCCTAAGTGGACAATTTCGTCCGGCAAATCTTGAGGTGGAGGCCATAGCCGGAGAAACCCGTAATTACGTGTTCAGAACCACAATTTGATTTCGTCCGTTCTCTGTTACTCTGTTACTTCTGTGAAGTAGAACTCGAACAATATTTCGTTCCCTTTCTTTATTCTCTGTATTATTAATTAATTTAACAAATGTGAATTGTATTCTCCTGTTACGTCCTAAAGCAGTGTTTAACAACCTGTGGTCCGCGGACCCCTGGGGGTCCGCGGGATAGTTTATTTTCATTAAACTTTATCTTATCGTGTTCCTCACACCTGGGATATTTGCAATGTATATCTCTGGCTCTTGAGGCCCATGGTTGAAGTAAAATTTAACGGAACTGTTGGTACCGTTACTTCTTCCCTTTGTAAAGCAGAGGTGAATAACCAACGATTTGTGTAGCTTTTTCCAAGGACATTTTCTTTTGGTCGGCCCATTGCATATCAGACCCTTGTTTCAGCGTGGACTGCTGTCCTAGTACCTGCTGTCCGACCATTCTCCCCTCCTCCCCCACCAAATCCATCCCTCTTTGGACGGAAATAAACCTGGGACCATTGACCACGTTTTTTATTCATTTCAGTGGCAGAGCGAACAGCCCGTGTTTCTTTAGTTTTTGTGCAGTGAATTTTTATAATATTATACAAGTGTGTTTCTCTCGGTGTAATATTCAGTTTTTCTGCTTTTGTTCAAATAACTGAGTTCACAAAGAAACTTCTGATTTTCAGCTTGTTCACGATCTTATTTAGGTGTGGATCTGTGGTTAAAGTGTGGATCATTGAAACGTAAGACAGACGATAATCCGAGTGGATCTAGTGTTGTCGAAAATAGTACCAAGGCAGATAAAGTTCCTTCCCTCAAAAAATCACGCAAATATTGTCCATCTTATTTGCAAATTGGATTTTCCGTTCTGAATAAAGACGGCGAAGACAGACCACAGTGTGTTCTTTGTTGCGAAGTGTTATCGAATGAATCTATGAAGCCGTCGAAGTTGAGACGCCTCCTTGAAACGAAACATGGCGAATCAGTTAATAAGCCAATAGAATATTTTCAAAATAAGAAACTGCAACTTTGTGGTTCACAGAATTTAGTTAAGGACATTGTATGTGGAACGAAAAATGAAAAGGCTGTTCTTGCCTCTTACGAAGTCGCCCTTCTGATCGCTAGAAATGGACAACGCCATACAATCGGGGAAGATTTAATTTTGCCTGCTACAAAAACGATAACAAAGAACTTGTTTAGTGAAAAACATGCCAACGAGGTGTCTCTAATATCGTTATCTGACAATACTGTGAAAAGAAGAATCGACGAGATGGCTCAAAATGTGAAAGATATTTTGCTAGAACGGTTACGTCATAGTGAATATTTTGCGTTGCAGTTGGATGAAAGCCACGATATTTCAAATAATGCTAATTTGGTAGCTTTGGTGCGATATGAACACGAAAATAAAGTTTGTGAAGATTTTTTGTTCTGTGAATCGTTACCTCTTAATACAACTGCTGAAGCCCTTTTCAAAGTTGTCAATGACTTCATAACTACAAATACACTTCAATGGGAAAAATGTGTAGGTATCAGCACAGATGGTGCTCAGGCAATGTCGGGAATACATAATGGTTTGGTCGCACGTATCCAGAAAGTCGCACCTCTTGTTAAATGGACACATTGTTGCATACACCGCGAAGTATTAGCTGCACGCCGTATGCCCTCCAAAATGAAAATCGTTCTAGACGAGGCAGTAAAAATTGTCAATTTTATTAAAGCCCGTCCTCTTAACAGCCGATTATTTTCTGCGCTTTGTAATGAAATGGGAAGTGATCACGAACACTTATTATTGCACTCAGAAATCCGATGGCTGTCCCGGGGTAAGGTTTTGACGCGGTTGCTTGAGCTTCGAGACGAAGTAAGGTTGTTCCTCATAAACTCTAAATTTCAGTTAACACACTATTTAAATGATTTCGCATGGCTCTCCTCTCTTGCTTACTTGGCGGACATTTTTAACATCTTGAATACTCTTAACTCGAGCCTTCAAGGTACATCTGTCACCGTGTTTTCTGTGCAAGACAAGATAGAGGCAACAATCAAGAAGTTAAATTTGTGGTGCAGCCGTATCGAGAAAGGAAAATACGATTCCTTTCACATGCTGAGTGATTTCATTGATTCCAGTGAACAACCCCTTTCTAGTGATGTTGCTGAAAGTATGATTGAACATATGAGGTCATTGGCGTCTCATCTACTCTGTATTTTCCGATTGGTCTTGAAAATAACGACTGGATGAAAAATCCCTTTGTAGACTCTGAATTTGAACTTCCTTCTGCCGAGGAAGAGCAACTTATCGAGCTGTCCTGTGATTCGACGTTCAAATTGCTGTTTCCTTCGTTACCGTTACTGGAGTTTTGGTTCCAAGCTAGGTCTGTTTACCCTGAAATTTCCAAAAGGGCTGTAAGACATCTGTTGCCATTTCCCACTACATATCTGTGCGAGACAACATTTTCTCATCTTGTACACATGAAAAACATATATAGGAACAGACTTAACGTGGAGCCAGATCTACGTCTGAAATTATCCAGTTTTGATCCTGACATTCGAAAGTTGACGTCTGAAAAACAGCACCAGCCATCACATTAGGTGAGTGTTAAATTCATAATATTACGCCTAATTGATATGTTCGTAATCTTCCGAATATCTCCATTTATAACAGTATTTTATTGTCATAAATGACACATTTAGTGTTGTAAAATTTTAAGTTACTGCTTCATTTTTATGATATGTACTCGTAAAATTTAATAATTTCCATTTTGGGTTTTATGGGGTCCGCGGTGAATTAACATTCGGTACAGGGGGTCCGCGGCATCAAAAAGGTTGGGAAACACTGTCCTTAAGCTTGGTAGAGGTCCGCCACGGACGACAAAGTACGTGTCAGAAGGTATCCACGGAACATATACTTTCGGTACTCATTCCACGCGTGCGAGGTGAGAGAAGAACGCGTTCGTAACACATAATCTTGTCGAAGCTCAAAGAGCTTGAAGAAATTAAATCTGGAAATGGCAGAATGTGTTGTTGTGAAATTTTCTAGTGATTCTGTTAGAGTTGGGACTGATGACTTAAGTAATAACGTATGTGACGAAGGTCATAGTCAAGTAGCAGGATCGGTATTTGGCTTATATCACATAATTTGCCTCTTGATCTCAATAACAACGTTCATCCTAGATATTGGTTTTGATTCATGGTTGGCATACATCTACTACTGCCAAGGACAAGGCTCGTATTTCGCTCTGACGGTGACATTTCTGATTTTTCCTGCACTTATTACAACGGCATTCAGCCTGAGATGGTACGTTGTTAATTATTCCTCCTGTCTGCCTCGTTGGATTTATGAGCGGACTAACAATAATCGTTCTTATTTTATGCATCCTTTTGCTTATGTTACGATCGAGATCAAGTGAAAACAGTAAGTCATTTTATTATATTAACCGCCCCACATGTTTCGGTCTCTTTTGACCTATGAATAAAAACAATAAATATAAAACGTTCATGTTGAATTGTATGAATTTTGGTATAAATTTGATGTAGCTATATGTGTTATAATATTAATGGTGATTAAGTGTGTGTGTTATTTCACTGCGTGTAGTGTTGTGGTTTGTGTTTATGTGATGGTATTTCTTATGGATGAGTTTGATGTTTGCTAAAAATATGAAGTCTTTGTTGTAATGCCTCTATAATGTATACAAGTAAGTACTTTTTGACCATTAACTGAGTGTTAGGCATTCTATGTTGTTTACATTTTTTTTATTGCTAGTGGGGTGGGACTAAGTCCCTTGTACTGTGGCTACTTCTGGCCTGTTGTACCAGCTCCAGATGATAGGTGAGGGTGATTGTGGAGCAGTTGGTGGAATGAAGATTGGTAGGGGAAGGAGAAAACCTGCCCCAGCGCCACATTGTCCACCACAAATCCCATTTGACCACACCCGGGATCGAACCCAGGCCGCCGCAATGGGAAGCCAGCGACTAACCGCTTGAGCTGTGGCGGGACCCATGTTGTTTACATAGTTACCTGTTTGTGGTTTGTTTTCTGATGCACTGTTAGCATGTTGGTAATCAGAGTAATGTGTTGTATATGTCTGAGGTTACGTGATTTAAGGTGAAGAGTAAGGAGGGTGTTGGGCTGCGTAGTGAGGGGTGGCTATAGGAGGTAGTAGGTGGCGATGATTCAGTGAGGTGGTGCTATGAGAGTTATGTTTTAAAATTATGCTGAATATGGGTTTATTGGTGTCAATAAAAGTGTCCATTTGTTGTTTCTGTAAAGTAAGATTATGTATGTGGAAGTGTTCCAATGTCCTTAGTAAGTGGACTTTCTTTTGACTGGGGAGAATTTGCATTGTTTCATCTATAGTATCATAAGTGTTTTGAGTTTCTAATATGTATTGTGTATACCTTGGGTTCGATTTGTTGGTTCTTATTGCTTGCACATGTTCCTTGAAGCATGCTCAAAATATTCTACCTGTCTGTCCAACATACTTCAAGGTGCAGTTGTGTACTGTGCTGCACTGTGTTACGCCATGCTAGTCTCTTTCTTTGCTTAGTATGATAATTTTTCAGTGCTTGTTATGATAAGTAATAGTACAATAAAAGCCCAATATAATGCTGTTACAGGAGACATGATCATACCTGTTATAATAGAAAATTTACTCATGACTAACAGTAAACTTCATAAACATTTTTATATTAATGTTTTTAAATGTTGCGATGTAGAAGAGAAGATGTTTGAAGTATGCTGATGGCAAAGTTGCTAGTTATATTTTTACTGATAGAAAGGCCTGTTAAAATTCAATAGGGAATAATATCTTTCATCCCCTCTCTCCCTTTCCTCACTTCTTCCTGTTCCAGTGTCTGATTCCTTTTCCCTTAAAAAACAGTTGAGCTACATCTTTATGCTTCAGATGCCACAGTTTTTAACAAAGAGCTGCTACACGTGTTAGCATATGAAATCTACTGCTGTGAGAATGACAACATATGCCCATTATGGAAGAACATAGCCTGAATCTGTAGCTATGTCACATAGCATGTCATTCCAGAAATGACAGTACAGCATAACTGCACATTCTAAATTATTTTCCATCTATCATTGATTACAGTAATTGTGCTGTTTAGCTTCAGTGTAAATCTTTTTGTAGGATGTCCTGATCTTGATCTTTAATATATCATTTTATTTCTTATGTTAATTTATAGCATTCTTTCAAGATGTTGAGATGATTTCTTCTACTTGTGTATTGTGTGACACAACAGAAATTTTGTGAAGCATGTGGCGGTCCCCTTTAAAGCTATCCTTGTACCAGGCTGTGAAGGCCCATATGGCTGTGAGACCTTGAGGGTCCCACACTATCTAGACAATCGGCTGAAAGATGTTGGTAAGGTTGTCAGTCTTCCGCGCCAGCCGGCTAGAAGGATTAGGTCAACTGAAAAAAATCCAGTGACCTCATCGGGACTTGAACCCGCGACCTTCCTGCTTGTACCATGGCTCCTCAAATATGGTGGTCTCTTATATTTATAAACAACATATGTTTCAGGTATATAATAGATGGTGATGAGCCTACTCTTTCAAAACCTCCACTTTGGAAGTGGGTGCTACGAATCATCATGTTATTGCTTCAGTTGGCACCAATACTCAGGTATCTAATTTTTTAGATATTTCAGTTTGGCAGTTTTGTTCTATGTCCTTCAAAAGATATTTTTAATTTTTCCAGTGCATAGTCAATAAACCATTGTTATAATTTCTACTATGTTATTTTAGGTATTCATGTTGGATTCAGTTAGGAGGGAACTATTGTACAATATTCTCATAGTTTGGGGTTCCCATAAATTTAGTTAGACCGATTAAAATGTGTTTAAACAAAACATATAGTAATGTCCATATAGTTAAATATTTGTCTGATAATTTTCCTGTCCAGAGTGGTCTAAAACAAGGAGAAGCTCTGTCACCATTGATATTCAGCTTTGCTTTAGAGTATGTCATTAGAAAGGTCTAGGAAAACCAGGTGGGACTGAAATTACATGGGACTCATCAGCTGCTGCTCTGTGCTGATGATGTAAATCTGCTGGGTGCTAACATGGATACCATAAAGAAAAACAGAAACTTAATTGATGCTAGTAAGGATGTTGGTCTAGAAGGAAACCTAAGTACTGTAATCGTATGTCGAAAAAGTGAAAAAGTGCAGACACTGATCATGGAGGACCATCATTTGGCCATCCATGAAGTTGCTGATGAGGTTGAGATCAGCAGAGGTTCCACAAACACAATTTCAACTGAGGATATGGGCATGCGAAGAGTGGCGGCAAAATTTGTGCCCAAGCTGCTTTTGCCGGAGCAGCAACAACTCCATCTTGAGGTCGCGCAGGACATGCTGGAGTGCAACAACATGGATCCTGAGTTCCTGAAGACTATGATCACTGGGGACGAGTCATGGGTGTATGGATATGACCCGGAAAACAAGGTCCAGGCGTCAGAATGGAAGCATCCAGCATCCCCAAGGTCCAAAAGAGCACAACAGGTTCGGAGCAATGTGAAGGTGATACTCATTTTTTTTTTCTATTACCGAGGTGTTGTGCATCATGAGTACGCACCACTAGGCCAGACTGTTAGTAAGGAGTACTACCAAGAAGTCCTCCGCCATCTTCATGATGCAGTTCAGCACAAGAGACCGGAGCTGTGGGACGCACGCAACAGGCAGCTGCATCATGACAGTGGCCCAGCTCATTCATCACACCTGATCCAGGGTTTCCTGGCCAAGCACGCTATTCTGCAGGTTCGCCAGGCTCTACTCTTCTGATATGGCTCCTTGTGATTTCTGACTGTTCCCGAGATTGAAGACTGCTAAAAGGCTGCCATTTTGACAGCCACAAGGACATCATACAGAACGCGACGGCGCAGCTGCACACCATTCCAAAAGAAGCCTTCCAGAATTCCTTCCAGCAATGGCAGGACTGCTGGGCTAAGTGTGTGGAGTCACAAGGTGCCTACTTTGAAGGGGATTAGGTATTGTAACGACACAGATACAGAACTTTTTTTTCCTGGCCCAAGGTTGGATACTTTTTGGGCAGAGTAGTATATGTTGCTGTCTCATCACCAGAATGCAAGGAAAAGTCATGACATGAAGATAGCCATGCTTTGAAAATGTGACACCGTTCAAATATTTGAGAATGACAGTAACAAATCAGAATTTGATTCAGGAGGAAATTAGAAGGATATTGAATTCAGGTAATGCTTGCTACCATTCAGTCTATGAGCTTAGGTCTTCCTGTCGGCTCTAAAAACATGAAAACTAGAATATATAAAACTGTAATTTTGCCTGTGGTTCTGTATGGGTCTGAATCTGCCAAAACAGGCCTGAAATGGACATCTATAAGTCCGTTAAGTGTAAATGTTTCATAAATTTGAAACAATATTTTATGAACTTTGAGAGTTGTTTGACAGTAACTATGAATAGTTTATCAACTGGGATGTGAGCCTTGTAGACTGGTAGATGTTTACTGACTGGTGTTCTGAAGCAATATTCTGCCTCCATTTTGAGGGTCGAAGAGTAAGTGCTCTACTTGCTTGAGGGCTTACTCTTCAGCCCTCAATATGGAGGCAGCACATTCCTCTGTACTGTAAGTAAACATCTGCCAGACTGCATGGTATCATATTCCAGATGATAATGCTCTTCAGTAATACGAGAGTCATACTGAAAGTCATGAGCAACAATTTTTTGTAAAGTAACATGCTTTATTATTGACAAACCAAATACACCACCTCAATCTACAGACCTTTCTTTATTTTTCCGCATCGTCCCAGACGTTTATCACGCACTGGACAATGGAGCTTGTGCAGCGTCTGGACATAACGAGCAGCATTGATGGTTTGCCCAGGTTCCAGGAATTCGGCCAGAATAAACCCCTCTGCATCCCAGAAGACTGTACCCATCACCTTCGCAGCTGATGGCACTGTGTTTGCCTTCTTTTTTGGTGGAGAATGGAAATGGTGCCATTCCATACTCTGCCGTTTTGTTTCAGGCTCAAAATGGTGAAACCAGCTTTCGTCACCTGTCACAATACAGAGCAAGAAATCATTGCCTTTGTGTCGATATCTCTGCAGCATCTCTGGCTTTTCACTGACCTTTGTGGTCTTCAGTCAATAACCGCGGGACCCAACAAGCACAAACTTTCCTATAGCCCAAGATTTCAATCATCTCCTGTACTGCACTGTGCCCTATTCCAAGTTTTTGGGCTATTGTGTCCACAGTCACATGCCTGTCATCTTCAATGATCTCATCCACTCTTTCCTTGTTGCGTTCAGTTGAGGCTGTTCGCGGAAGACCGCTCCAAGGCTCATCTTCAATGCTGGTGTTCCCATCTTTAAAATGTTTCACCCGTCTTCGAACACTGCTCACACCCATGCACACAGTTCCATAAGCACGCTGAAGAGTCTGGTGAATTTCTGCAGCAGGAATTTCCTCTTTCACAAGAAATTCAATGACAGCACGCTGGCGAAACGACATATGGTTGTTGGCCATTTTGTTAGGAGTTATACTGGTCATGTGATGCAAGCTATTGACGTCACAAGACACTCAAGGTTAACACAACAGCTGGTTCCACCTACCACCATACTCTCTTTCGTCTGCTGTTCCCACGTTGCATGCAAAAAAAAGTTGGTCATGACTTTTGGTACCACCTACGTATTTTGATCTGTGTGTTTCTAATAGTAATCTTACAACTTTTTAAGAAGTATAATTTACAAATCGATAAGTGATGGACTTGTTAGTGAAGAAATGAGGAAAAGAATATAAATTTGTAAATTTCAACAGGATGTAAAAAGAATTAAACTTACATGAATGAAAAGGAACACTGTTTTTCAAATTGATAGTGAAATTAAAACCAAAGTAAAGTGGTCTGTGCGAAGGCTGAGAACATGATGGATAATGCAAGTGGGGATGGGTGTAGAAAGGGAAGATAAGACATGAATAAAAATGATGGACTTAGAACTGTGAGAGGGCAGGCAAAGATCAAAACTTGTCTCATGCTTGATCCCCTTCCCCAAGGAAAAGTCCAATTATTTATCAGTGATTGAGTTTTGTGAGTTAATAAGTAGTAGACCTACTGTTTTTACATACTTCATACAAGTTACATTTATTGTTAATTGTTTCATAATGGATTGCAGAGTTACTAATTCTACATTGTACAATTTAAGACAAATACAGTGAAACCTCGATTCATTGTTTTCGTCGGGGTCCCTGAAAAAAAACGATGGTTGCAGGAAAACGATAGATGCAGGGCCTATATAAAATGAATAAAAACGGTCACATTTGCTTATATGTATTAACTAAATCAAAAAACGTAAACTAGTGATAATATTTCCACTGTCAAGTCCAATTTGTGTTACTACTTGTTAAAAAAGTCATTAATTTTCACATGTTTAGTAGCATCTTTCCTTTTCAAGCTGAATAATAATCTTTCAGTATTAACAATGTTCGCTTGGTCTCTTTCGGTGATGTCGTGAGCATATATGAACGCTCTCACTGACTCAAATGCACAACGTGCTTTTGTAAAACTGGGCACTGGTTCAGTCTCGGCTTCATCGTCATCACCACCACCATCACCTTGCCCTTCCTCCATGCAACTTCCACTTCCGAACTTTTTTCACAGGAAACGCCATGTGGGAGAAAATTGTTGAAGATGCTAACAATAATACGAAGCATGTCGAGGATCGAACACGTGATGGACTGTATACTCAACCAGGCGAAATCGCGAACTGAGTTGATTCACACGATTCACACTAACATACAGGAAAGTTTTCCTAGCTGGAAGGCTCTCGGCATCCCCTTATCGCAAGACACGCTCAAGGTCGCATACCACGTTTCAGAAACATCAACTGCTTTTACTACTAATGCTTACTAACATTTGTGTGGTGTTGCACTTTCTTAAAAACGATCAATGCAGGATTAACATTCATGGGGACCAAGAATTCCGACCGATAGATGTGGGAAAACGATAAATCGAAGAACGATCGATGCGGGTTTTATTTCCATAGTTTAAATAGGATTTGTTCAGGGACCACAGAAATTGAACGATGGATCTGGGAAAACGATATATCCAGGAACGATAGATCGAGGTTTCACTGTATTACACTTAGGTATTACAAATGTGTTATGTAGGTATTGCGATGCACTGGCCTGTGGTGTACACAGCATTACTGCTGGGAAGGCAGGAAATAAGTTACGACAACAGAAAATGTACAGAAAGATGTTAGATGAAGATTCAGATGCAGCATTACTCAGACTGTTTCATTGCTTCCTGCATGCTGCACCTCAGGCAATCTTACAACTTATGATCCTCATCTTCCATCAGTCACATGCAAGCTCTGTTCAAGGTAAGGAATATCTCTGGCATATAATATGAAGAATTAGTTCTAGTAAGACTCTCCCATTAAGCCCTTGTGTACTTGTAATGAGCAAGATTCATTGGCACAGTGAAGGCCGAAAGAATTTACATAGAAATCTGACTCATATATATATATACACACATACACAGAGGGGTCCAAAAAAAAATGTACTCACTCTCTGATAGTCAGTATCTTTGGAACAGAATGACATGTAGTTACAATTCTTGTGCGGAGAGAGATAGAATCATTGTATGTGTTCGAAGTGACCACCATCAGCAGCTAAACAGCGTCGATGCCGCTGAACTGCTGAGTGAACTATGGCTGTCAGTGTGTCTGGTGTCATGGCTGCACACGACGCTTCGGTGGTTTCTTGTAGCATGTTCAGTGTAGCTGGCTTTTGTTGATAAACTTCATCCTTCAAGGTTCCCCATAGTTAGAAGTCAAGAGGTGTTAGGTCTGGAGACCGTGGTTGGTACTCAGTAGCACCTCTTCGACCTATCCATCGTCCAGGTAGAGTGCCAACCAAGTACGCCATGATGTCTCGATGGTAGTGAAGTGGAGCACAATCTTGATGTAGGTAAAAATCTCTCATCTCCAAACAGCGCTTGAATGTCAGGGAAAATGGATCAAAGAAGAAACGACCAATGAAACCGTGCGATGACAGACATCATGAACATCATGAACAGTACAGTCATCTTCAAATTTATCCTGAATATGAGCAGTTGTTCGACATGTTGGTGGCTGAGTTCAAAACTCGTTCTGCCATTGTCATTGTACCTCTTCAATGTTTTCATACTTCCAGTGCCACTTCAATACAGCCTTGCATTGCTCAAAGAACAACCTTTCAGCGATTGTTGCTGCTGTCTTCTGCTCGCAGCATGAACTACACTCATGTGACCTTTGCCATCTGTTGAGAAAACATTACACTACACTACTGCGCAAGAATTGTAACTACATGTCATTTTGTTCTAAAGATATTGACTATCACAGAGTGAGTACATTTTTTTGAACCCCTCCTGTATACATATATGGGTGAAAAGTCATTTAGGATCCAACATGTGTGAAGTTATTTGCGTGTGTTAGTATACTGCATTGAATTAAATTTGTTCTTACTGTGTACTGTGTTCCTAATGTACTCATCATGTTTGCATTGTAAAGTTGATCATTATACAGGAATACTTAAAAGAAAAGTAAGAAACTAAAGACTTCAGATCTTTATATTGGTATTGTGGTGAGAACCCATGCAGCCAAGAAGGACACTGAAACGAAAGCCATCCAAGTGGAAACGAAAACCATTTGAGACAAGTTAGATGCCCATCAGTAAGAGATAGACTGCCCTGAAACCAAGGGAAACTGAAAAGTAGACTGATTTGAAAGAAGCAGAGACCGTGAATTTGGAGGCTAATCCAGAATGATGCAGTCTGATGTGGAACACCCGGAGGTCCCTACTGAAGAGGCTGCAGTGAAGTCTTTGAGAACAACAAAGAAGTGAAGTGACACAAGGGCCAGCATCTAGCTGCAGGGCGATGCAGAGAGCCATAAGAGCTTACCTGAGGAGATTGTGGATCCTGAAGGAAGTTGACTGCTGAGAGCAGGAAGGTGTCCCATCATGCAGCAATGTTACGGTGCAAGAGAAAAGTCTTCTGGAAGATTTAGACCCAGGGAAATTGTGGAACGCAGAAGGAATTGGCCGCAGCCGGCAGGAGAATGACCCACAGTACAAAAGTGACATGGCACAGGAGACATGATCACAAGAAATAACCATCAGGACAGTGTGGTACAAGAAACCTGGAAAGGATGGACATGCAGGAAGAGATGTTGGAAGGGCCTGGAATGCAATAATGCATAAGGGACTAAGGCCTAAGACAGCAGCTGTGAGGCAGCAGGCGATTAATTGACCCAGGCACAAGACGGCAGCTGCTTCCTAAGATTGAGAGGACCTCAGAGGAGTTTGTGAAGCGAGTGACCAGGATATCCAATGGGTTGTGGAAAATGGGGAACTGGACCTTGTGGAGGAGTCATCCCCCGCTGAAGCAGAAAATCAAGGCCTGGGCATTATGGAGTGGTCCACCCTGTCCAAAACGGAAGAGAAACATACTAGCAGCATTAGTGTAAGAAGAGCTGGATGTGTGGAAGCACCGGTCACTCCAGGGGTTATGGCCCACCATGTGGAAGAAGAGAAATAAGAAAACCTTTGGGTGGACTTACTGGCACATAGCAGCGAGCTGCTCGGAGTTAGCGGTGAGAGCATATGGAGAATGAACACCATGAAAAAAAGAAAAGAACAACTTGCAGGAAGATGTTGAAAGCACAGCCCCTGGAAAGTAAATAAAGGTGATACACCGTTATGCTGTTCAGGACAAACAGCCTTAAGGAGGGAGCAATGTGGTGGATTTGCTCCATGCAAGAAGGCTCCAGCCACAGAAACTGCCATTTCTAAATAATACGCGCACACAACAATGGAACAATGGGTTATGCAACCTGCTTCTAGGCCAGTGTTCTGCAACCTTTTTCTACTTGCAGCACACCATGAAGTATCCGTGACTCAGCATGGCACACCAAAATGTTATTCCCCTCAAAAATGCATGATATATCAGACAATATAAATACGTAATGTGATCAACTTATTACTATAATATTATTATATTGTTATTTTATTATCATTAAACAGAAATAAACTCGTGCATTTATTAACAATTAATGAACTTTAATTCACTGTAGAGTGTAGAAAAACACTTCTATTATTATTAAAGTAAATACAGTAATTCTACTCATACCTTCAATGTGATACTTGCGCCTGCATAGCTGCACACAGGCGACTGATCCGTGGTGGAATCATTGACAGTGCAAGTCTCATTTCTTCATCGATGGATTTGAGCCGCTCCCTCTTTGATGTCTTAATTTCAGTTAACGTCGAGAAGCCCAGTTCACGCAAATATGCAGTTGAAAATGGCAATAACACATTAACTGCCATCTCGGAGATAGCCGGGTATCCACTCCTTATTGCCAACCAAAATGTATCCAAAGGCACTTTGAGAAGTTTTAGTTTCAGTGTTCTGTTTGCTTTTAAATCTGCGAGTTCCTCTTGTGTATTAATTGGATCATGTTCTGAATTCACCACAAATGGATCACGAACCCAGTCAAAATCTTGTACACTCTCTCCAAAATAATTATTGAATTTCTGCTGCAGCATTTCTGAATGTTCTTTAATTGTATCCATCACCACTTTATTGCCATCAGCAAGCGTCCATACAGTCGGGGACATCTCAAACGACCCATCTGTAATTCTCTAACTAGCAACCAAAATTTGCGAACTACTTCAGAGCACAGCTGTGATAGAACTGAAACAGTTATAAAATGCGGGATCTCTACTCTTCAGGCGGAAGAATTTATTTTTATTTTATTTTTATTTATTTACTTATTTTTTAAATATTTATAATTTTAAATGAAGGCCAGCAATTGGTGGGTGCATCATTACAGGAAGAAAGTTATAAAGTTGAAGAAGCTCTAACTTCTAACAAACGGGGGCAAATACCAAAACAGCGTTGTAAAAGACAGGAAAACCCATGCTAATGCCTGCAGTTTTAGGGAAAAGCACGTACACAGAACGTGGGGAAAGCATATCAAAGAAGCTGCGTAGATGCGAGAAAAATAAAAATAAATCAATAATGAAAACTGATATAACAACAACTGTGAGTAAATAATTTTCGTTTGCTTTCTTAGAATACATAAAAAATCACAGCATGTAATAAAGAATAAACAAGCATCATCTAATTTAATCAGTGCAATGGCTGAGAATAAAATACAAGCATATGAAACACAATAACTGGGATAAAATAAAATGAATAAAATTTGACAATTAATTTCTTACAATAGGTGAAAGTTCACGTCACACCTTTCACCTTGTGATGGCACACTGTTTGCGGAACACTGTTCTAGGCAACAGCGTGGTAAACACACTTCCACACAGGTGCAATGATGCCACATCCCAACAGTGCTTAGCTGTCATGTGACTAGTGTTTTCTGTGTGGTCTGCACTGTGAAACAGTAGAACTGTGTTTTCTGTGTTATCCATACAGCAACTATATAACACAAGTCCACTTGCATTCAAGAAGGGTCCAGAAGAGTTTTCACTTGAGTTCCAGGGTGATTGAAGATGAAATGGCAAGAAGACTGCATAGTGATTTGAAGTGCCAGTTTCTGTGTTGAGATTGTTGCCAGGAGGCGACTAGTGCATGTGTAAATCAGTAATAGCATTGTATTAATTGTAATTAAGAGAGATTGTAACCGAAGTGTTAATAAATTCAATCATCTGGTCTAGAACTTGTTATTTTCATCACGCATGCCATCCTACACGTGGCAGTATCTTTAAGGCTTACCATGTTAATAACATGTTCATTTTTATTGAAGTAAAGACATATAGTTATTGCATACTTTGATTTTGTGTGGGCATATATTGAAACTGTATATTTTCACAGCAATTCAAGCAAGGGCAGTGATATGTTCGCTAGTATCAGTGGCATGGTCACTTACATCTTATCATCGTTCAGTGAGAAATGCTCGAGACGACAAGGAAAAGTTAGAGTGGCAAGGAGCTGTCATGCAGTTTTGCTGGCATCTTATGAGCACAGGTAACTTTTGCATCAGTTAGTTGTGCAGTTATTGAATTAAAATAGAGATATACCTGTTTCTAAGCATTATAATTGTATGCAATATATGGAGGTATTCTAATGGTAAAGACAATAAAAAAAATATTTTTTTTTTAATAACATTAATTCCTAATTGGAAACTCTCACTGGAGCCAAACCTGAAGTTGCAAATATTATTTTTGAGTTTTTGGACCGTGTTATGATTGTCTCCATTTATGGTCATATTAATTTTTGTGGGGGTTTGTCTGCCTTGGTAGTGGTAAATGGTCCTTTTCTGGGGTGTGGGTATATGTAAGGTGGATTCTCCTCTCCACTGCAGTAAGATAATAATGATCATGGCAAACATGGGAGATCCTTTGTCTTGACAAAGGGTTTGAATCTCTGTGTTGACCTAATATCTCTAACATTCACAAAGTTTCACATTTGTATGAAGGAATAAAAGGGAGGAATATGCAGTAAAATCCATTTGGTCTCAAACCCAAGCCCTGTGGCACAAAAGTCCTTGTGTGCCTTGTTCTTACATACACTACCATGTCCTTGGGTGTTTTCAGGTGTACATGTGCTGATTAGTTCAAATGTGGAGCAGTGGATACATTAGTAAAACTTCTGTTCCCATTTAATTTCTCTCTTGAGGGCAGAGAATTTAATTTAAACATTTAGCCGAAGAAAACTTAAAATTGAGAAAATATTGAATGCAGATGATTGGACTTGAAGTATAGGAATTTAAATTGAAGCCAGAAAAAATGATTTAATCACTGCATTGTAATTTTGAGGATTCTGTGTGAAATCCGAAGTAGTCTTTTAGGACGTACATGTTCTTACAAGTAGTATGTGTATATTCTCAGAGTAATCAGTTTAAAAATCTCAGGATGTTTAGTAAGAAGATAGTCTTGCTCTAATGGTGTTTCTGTTGTTTTATAGTGTCAAGAGTGTTGGCCCTCAGCTTGCTAGCATCATTGTTCCCAGCATGGATGGGCACAGTTTGTTTATGCCATTGGTGTGTCATGTCAGCATGGCTTGCTGTGGGACACCAACACACTGCAGTTTGTGCTACTCGATGTGAAGAATTATTATTCAGCCTCGTGCTTGGCCTGGCCTACATATTGGCATTCATTGCTCCTCGAGATGGACCTACTAGATATTCGTATTTGGCCTATTATCTGGTGTTCTTCATGGAAAACACTGGCGCTCTTGTTGTCTGGTAAGGGCCCTGTATGTATGTGGGGCAATCCAAAAGTTTCCAAAATTTGAATTTTGTCCGCGAATGGTTATGAGTACATCAAAATACTGCTAGGTGTCTCCTCACACATCATTCTTGAATCAGGGTGGCAAGCGGCGTCGAGTTGAGTGGTTGGGTTTATTGTTGGTGAACGTATTTCCATTGTTGTGTTTCCGTGAGTTTGCGGTTTTGCGATGGCTGACCTGAGAGAGCAGCGTGTCTGTATAAAGTTTTGTTTCAAACTTTGGAAAACCACTGCAGAAACGCACCAAATGTTGAAGCAAGCTTTTGGTGAAAACTGTTTAGGCCAGACATAAACTTACAATTGGTATAAGCGTTTTAAAAATGGCTGAACATTGACTGATGATGACGATCGTTCGGGATGGCCATCAACAGGCAAAACACCAGAAAATGTTGCGAAAGTTAGGGATCTGACTCTGCAAGATCGTAGACTGACCATCCAAGACCTCTGTAACACCTTTGGACTAAGTTATGGTACATGTCAACGAATTTTGTCAGAGGAACTGAAAATGAAGAGGATTGCGGCGAAGTTTGTGCCACGACTGCTGCAAAATGAACAGAAGCAGCATCGCTTAGAAGTCTGCAGGGAACTTCAGCAACCGCTTCTAGAGGATCCAAACTTCTTTCGAAGGTTATCACTGGTGACGAAAGTTGGGTTTATGGCTATGACCCTGAAAGCAAGCAGCAATCATTGCTATGGAAGAGCCCTTCTTCACCTTGGCCAAAAAACGCTTGACAAGTCAAGAGCAACATTAAGTCCATGTTGATCTGTTTTTTTTTTATATTGACAGGATTGTTCATAAGGAGTTCGTCCCTCCTGGTCAGACAGTGAATAAAGAGTTCTATCGCGATGTTCTAGGGTGTTTGTGGCAGGACATGAGAAAATGTCCAGAGAAGTGGCACACAAATGACTGGGTACTTCACCATGACAATGCACGACCACATACGGCTTACATGGTTCAGGAATTTTTGGCTAAAAACAAGATGGCAGTTGTTCCCCCATCCACTGTACTCACCAGACTTAGCTCCTTGCGACTTCTTTCTCTTCCACAAGATGAAAATCAAGTTGAAGGGGCGAAGATTTGATACAGTTGAGGAAATTCAAGCAGAAACGCAGACGGTACTAAACACCCTAACAAAGAAAGACTTCCAGGATGCATTTGAAAAGTGACAGAAACACTGGGATCGGTGTATGCGCTCCCAAGGGGACTACTTTGAAGGTGATGGTGCAGAATAAGATCTAGGTAAGATGTAATAGTTTTTATTAATATATTTCGGGAACTTTTGGATTGCACCACGTATATATAGGCAGTAATTGCTCGACTGTTACTGTGATGCCTTGGTTACATATATGATTTGGCGTTCCATGTATTTTTAACCGTTTCCAGTCATCGCATTTAGAAAGATATCTGCAGCCAGGTCATCAGGGGTTTTGAAATGCCTACTGAACCAAGTGAACTGTTTTGGCCAAAAAGTTTGTGCAAGAAAGGCATAGTGATAGTCTTCAATAGCAGACACACTGAGTCATAGTCTGTCCTTCAAGGAAGAACTATTCTTGAAATGAACAGTTTTTCAGAGTATAGTAAGTTACACATGTTGCCTGTAAGTTTTCTGTAATTTGGAATTATACTGTGAACATAACAAGTGTCACATCCAGTTAATGCAATTAACCTGATACCCCACTTCTTTGTTTCTTTTGATGGGTGGATTATAAGTTTCAAAAATTATTTTGTGCTTGAAACCAAATGTTGATTAATTTATTACAGTGTTTTCACTTGGCACAAATTTTTATGAAATTGTTTTACTATATGTTTTATCACCCCATGTACTTTCTTATCTTTTTGATTGCCTGATTGCTTTATTCAGTGGCATCATTTCCCCACATACATCATCACCCATTGTCACATCTTCCTACCTACCAACATGCAAGAACACTCATTTCGCTCTCACTCTCACTTTCTAACATTTTATTGCTCGATTCTTCACTCACAGTTTTTCCTTCAGTTTCCAAATTAATCTTATCATCATAGTCAATATCGAGTTCTTTACTTAACGTATCACTACTAGATTCCTCATCCGCATCACACAAGGGATTATATCTACTTTCTCCAAACCGGATGGCTGTGGTTTAACTGAACGTAAAAGCATGCTATTAACATATGAGATGCCATAATATATAAGTGGCATTTGTTCTCAAGAAATTCAAATTATGACTTCCAGATGGCAGAAGGAAGGAGACGAAACATTCATGCATGTGTTGATATAATCTGCAGTGCCAACTAGTGATGCATGATTGAAATATGACCGCAGAAACACTACACAAACTTTGTTGATAGTATATCGACATTTGTCCACGGAAGCACAGTCACCATGTCAATTATATATCAACGTTGACAGGAAAGGGTTAATGTCAACATTAGATGGAAGTGAATAGTCAGCTGCCATTACCCTCTGTGAAAACAGCTGCAGTACTTCATTTGTTAAGAGGGTGGGTGAGCCTTAGAACCTTTTTGGACATAATGGTGGTGAGAAAATTGCAGTACCCATAGTTCTAATCAAACCCTGATTGTTCAGGCTGCAGTCAGTCACTTAAGTGATTGCATTGTCATGTTTTATGAAAGAATCTTTTTTTTTCGCTTTATGCAGGTGTGTAGCAAGCAGTTCAGCACAGAATCCAGTGCTGTACTATGGTGCTGTAGTGGCTCAAGTAGTTGCCTTTCTTCTTGCTCTGACATTTATGCTGCTGTATTATCGGTACTTCCATCCTAGTGGAACGTCAACTACTCTTAGCAAAAGCATCTCCATAACAGATCCGAACATGGATCTAGGAAAGCCAGGTCAGAGCAAACAGTTCTCTAGCCAAAGAACGCTTTAGCATACAATTTGTATTCTATTTTCATGTTATCTCCAGGATATACTATATATATATGAATGTTGGAAAGGGCATCAGGGTCATTTAGAATTGAAATTAAATTGAATTGCTTAACTGCTACCTCATGTTAACCCTTTCACTGTTATGGGCCCAAAACTTCACAAGCTCATTCAGCATATAAGTGTGAAACTTTGATTTTTTACTTTGAGAAATATTATATGGAAATCGAAGTATGAGATATCAGTATTATAAACATATAGTTTTTGATATAAAGAAATTATATATTTTAATATACAGAAATAATATATTGCATTTATGACAAATCTAAAAAATCGGGAGAATGCCAGCTGTTGGACAGCTGATGTACATTTTTCTTCATTAACAGTAGAAAGGTAAATAGCATTTAATTTTTTATGTGCAAAATAATTTTGTTCTCATAGCATGTGATCCAGTGATATATTGTCACGTGTTGGCTGTATGTGACACGACAAATAACCTCACGCCGGTCTTGGGTCTAGTGAATTTATTGCACACTTTTATCCACGCTTACACAATTCACAATTTGTGTCCCACTTACTTCTTCTGTTATAGTCACTTCCAGACTTCAACTGTCTGTAACGCCTTAAGGGGGGGCTACTAAAAATGCTAAGTGCTGCCTGCGTGGCAGGCGAGCCTTCTACCACTGTACCCCCGATGCCACCCATTGTCTTTCGTGACGACAGGTGGGGTTCAGTATCTCACTGCTGTCGCCATATGTAATGCTGCGATCGCAGTGGTGGGTAAAACACAATACTAATTCCCTTTGTCAGCCATCTTCGTTGGCTAATGGCCCACCGCTGCCACCGATTTGTTGTGCCGTAGGAGGGGCTAACGAAATGATCCTAAATTTACTCAAACGCCATCCTTTCGTTGGCTGGCCCCACCATCACTGGCACCACTTTGTGCTGGCATAGAGCGAGCGCGTAGGTTTTAACCTGTCTCTACCCATTAACTGTCACGCCCCCAAGTTGGGGGTGTCGTTACTGCTCTAACTGTTTGTTGCATCTGGCTGCTGTTGGCTGCCTGGAGTCTGTTCTGCCTACGCTTGGGCTAGGATAGCTCTGGATCGGTCGTGGAAGGGTTGAGTTTGTGGCGGGGCGAATCAAACTCTCTGTGTACATCCAACCCTAATTACACTGTCTATTTACAGTATTAACAATGCCAACTTTCAGTTGGGACTACGTAGTGTCTTTCCCTTTCTTGACAATCACTTCATTCTGATCTCCCCTTCTGGGGTGTATGATTTGAGTCTGTCTCACTCATCTTCTCCTATTTCGACTCATGAGGATATACAAGTATTAATCGTTCGATGTGAACCTTTTTACTCTCTCCCTTCATTTCACCGTTCTACCCTATCCTATCATAATACTTTACCCTTAAAATATTCTGCTCCTAAAACTATAAATACTAAAACGTAAGTATGTTTATCACAAAATCAATGGTCACATCAATGAACAACAAATATGCATGCTCCGCATACTACCAGCAAATCATGGCACACAATCTAACGTCAACCATATTTACTACACTAACAACCTCGGTCATCACTCGTTACACTATTTCTCCTATTCTACCCGAAGGGCTCGCAGGGCACACTGGAGATTGGTTTCCAACATTTCAACAAACAACAATAAAGTTTACTAACATGGCTAGTATGAGCAAACTGACTTACTTGAGATAGAGACGCAGTCGGACACCATCACTTGTAGCGCCCATGTCGAGCAGAGCCTCCAGCTGCTTGCTGAATATTACATTTTTTTTTTGAGCGATCCCTAAAAGCCTTCCTTTCCCACTTTCATATTATAAAATTGCTGATGCCGCAGATGGCAAAAGAGGGAGGTTAACTCCTCCCTTTCTTCTAAATTTTGGGGTGGTAGGTTCCCATTGGTTAACCCCCATCCGTCGCAGACGAATCCGCAGCGTCTCGTCACTGCGTATTTACTAATTTCATTTTACTCCAGTGGCCTAGTGAGGTGAGCTTCCTGCTTGTGCGATTACGCATAAATGCTGATCATGAACATTCATAACCTAGATCCCCAGTCTAGGTGTTGTCATCCTTACCCTGGTCGTTGCGACAACTCTTAGCAATTATTTAACCTAATTGCTGTAAAATGCTTTTGCAAGTCTCGTAACATTTAGGCAATGCCTTCGATTTCCAGTTGAAATTTGTGACATAACACTGTATTGACGGCTGCTGTATTTCAACTGACCCTGACACTTGTAACTGTCTCGATTACATTCATTCAGTACAACTGAACAACTCTGGTGCATTGAACCCCCTTACATAGGCCTCTCGCAGACCACACAGGAAACAGCACAGACTCCACTGTTGCGTGACATCACAGCCTAGAGGGGAGGGGTGTTTACTGAGATTCGCATAGTAAAGGGATGAGTGGGGATATGTGGCATCACTCACACTTCCTGTTGCCCTATCCAAGCATTCACAGATTGTCGCCTAGCAAGGCGGCGCCGATACAGTCTGCAACTCTCCTGTTGCACACGTGCTCCGAGGCCTCTGTGGCTCAAAAGTTCCTGGATAGAGTAAATATGCCACATTGCACCCTCCTTAGGGCTCTTTGTCCCAAATAGCCTAACGGTGCATCCCCATTCCTTTTCTTCCCGTTGTTTCCGCGGATTCCTGCTAGCAACGTCCACATTCGGTCTTGCCATTCTTCATGTGTCTTTTGTGGTGTTCATTCTACCGTATCCGCCTCCTCCTTCAAGGGTGCTCGTCCTGAGTCGCTCCGTGGTAGGGTGCAAGCTGATCCAGTTGTACTACCTGTCACTCCATGTTTTCATCATCATTCTCCATTCATGCTGGGGAGGTCGTTGTTTCTATATTACTGGTTCCTCTTCTGCTTGCAGTCTCTTTTTCTGTTTTGGAGGGGTGCAACCCCTTCACAAGGTCCAACCATGTTTTGTCATTTAAGAGGAAGCCGATACCCCCCACAGCATATTGTCTCTCACCTTCCACAACCCGCCGAACATTCTGGTTGCTCTTTTCATGAATTTCAGCATTAGCGTCCTCTTGAGAATCTTACAGAGCGGTCCTATTCTTCCCAGAGGTGATAGCTGTCTTGAGGTCCGCTCTCCAATATGGTTCGTGGTTGGGTCCTTTATTCCCGTTTTGCATTGTGGTCCTTTCCAGCGTCTATTTTCCTCTATTCGTCCTTTCCGGGTTTCTTGTTCAGAATTGACCCTGGTTGAATATTTATGAAATTTCCCTTGCACTGTGCCATACCTGCACAGCTGGTCATATTTCTGTCAGCAGCCAGTTCATGCCGTGTTCCACAATTTCCGTGGGTCAGAATTTCCCTGAAGATGTTCTTCTTACACCATGCCACTGTTGCACGGCGGGACACCTTCCTGCACCTGGCAGCCAATATCATCTGAGATCCACAGTCTCTTTGGGTCAGTTCCTTTGGCTCTCCACGTTGCCCTGCAGCTTGCATCTTGCCCTTATGCTGCTTCTTCTGTCCTTTGAGTGGTTTCACTACAGCATTTTCCTTGGGGGCTTCTTGATGCTTTGCCACCTTAGGTTTCCTGTCCAGTGAGGTTGGTTGTTTTTTTTTTCTAGATGCACCTCCATCGTTTCTCGGCAGGACATCGTCTCTTTTCGAGCAATCAATATTGTTTCTTCATGGCTGGCGTGCATCCTCTTGTCTCGTGTGGATTTCATACTTGCTTGGATGGCTTCCATTTCTGGGGACATCTTGCCAGGCCTTAAATTAAAAAAAAAATCGCTAAGTGGGGCTTTGGCGTGGCTTGAATGCCAGGCCTTCACATCAGTGTCCATTTTTTCTCGCCAGGCTCCTCTGCCTGCATTCGCCTTCGCTTGGTTACTTCTCGTTTCTTTCAGCAGGAGTTCCACCAACTGTTTTCTTTTTTTTTGGGATGATGACACTTGATGCAATCATAAATTCAATTATTCATCCTAGATTGAGACGTGTTTAAGTTCGAATCTCACTTCTGTAACACCAGTTGGCACATGTCAACCGTGTGATCCGACATATAACTTCACCTGGTCTTGGATCTAGCGAATTTATTGCACATTTTTATCCACACTTACACAATTCACAATTTAAGTGTCCCACTTCTTCTGCTATAGTCACTTCCAGACTTCAACTGTCTTCAGCGACTGCTATATTTCAACTGAAACTGACGCTTATAACTCTCTCAATTACATTCACTCAGTACAACTGAACAACTCTGGTGCATTGAACCCCCTTACATAGGCCTCTCGCAGACCACACAGGAAACAGCACAGACTCCACTGTTGCGTGACGTCACAGCCGAGTGGGGAGGGGTGTTTACTGTCGCATAGTAAAGGGATGAGTGAGGATATGTGGCATCACTTGCACTTCCTGTTGCACTATCCAAGCATTCACAGAGTTGTCACCTAGCAACGCGCTGATGCAATCTGCCACTCTCCCGTTGCACTGTGATTGATGCTAGTAAGGAAGTTTACTAGAAGGAAACACAGAGAAAACTACTTATATGTTTCTGTTTTGTCACCAGAATGCAGGACAGAATCATGACAGATATAGCAAATCGATCCTTTGATGTGACACAGTTCATATATTTGGGAACAACAGTAACAAATCAAAATTAATTCAGGAGGAAATTAAGAGGTGATTGAATTTGGGCAATGCTTACTACCATTCAGTGCAGAACCTTTGGTCCTCTCATCTGCTGTCTGAAAACATAAAATTTAGAGTATGCACAACTATAATTTTGCCTGTGGTTCTGTGTGGTTGTGAAACTAAGTCTCTGACATTAAGGGAAGAACATAGGGTGTTTGAGAATATTTGGACTGAAGAGAGATGAGGTGATGGGAGATTGGAGGAAACTGTATAATGAGGAGCTTCATAACTTGTACTTTTCTCCAAGTATAATTAGAATGATCAAGTCAAGGAGGATTTGGTTGGCAGGACGGGTAGAATGACTGGGGGTGAAAATGAATGCATATAGGATTTTGGTGGGAAAGCCAGAAGGAAAGAGACCACTAGGAAGACCTAGATGTAAGTGGGATAACAATATTAAGATTGATCCAAGAGTAATAGGGTGGGGCGGTATGAACTGGATTGATGTTGCTCAATAAAGGGGACAATGGAGGGCTCTTGTGAACAAGGTAATGTACCTTTGAATTCCATAAAATATTTTGCACAACTGGCAGCTTTTGAAGAAGGGCACATCTCCATAGAGTTAATTAATTAGTTACTGGCCTCTGTAAAGCCAACATAGGCCGGGCAACTGTATTTTTAGTCTTGGTCTAAATGTGTTACAAATGTAGTATATCAAGTGTCACGTAACTTCAAACAAGGCCAAGAGTAACCTTGAATGTGCAGAAGAAAAATTTCAGACAAGGGGGTGGGTTCGAAGGTGTGAGAAGTGACGGGCGGCCAGTTGTTTGTAAGGCAGCCTCGAAGCAGGTTGTACTTACGATTTTTCTCTCATGTGTTTAACCTTTAAGTGACGGCCCTTTAAATTCCGGTAATGGCAGCGGGACGTATTTGATTTAAATACCCACAATTTTAAAGCAATAAAAACTGTAATCATTTCCTAAAATTGCTGTGATTTCTACAATTTTTGTGATAAACGAACCAAATAAACGCTGTTTTTTTCTAGGAAGAATGTAGAATCAGATATTGTAATTTACAGACTTTGTAAAATGTGTAAAAAATTTTAGACTGATTCCAAGTAAAAATTTCCCAAATTTGTCGTCTCTCTACAAGAATTCAGAGTTCTTGGAACGAAGAATGCAGTATGTAGATGTTGCAACACAGCAGCGGATGGTTTATGTAGCCATGTTTAGTCTTGCATGTCTCGAAAGATTATACACGTACGTCATTTCGGTATGCAGAGATGTGGGGTGAGTATCTATTAGTATACAAGAACCCTGATTGTTTATTATCGCTTGTCGCAACAAACAAGCTCTCTGTTCTCACTCTGCTGGAAGTAGATTATAAGTACTTTCATGGTTAGCATCCTAATACTGCCAAGCAGTATCAAAAGCGTGAACCAACCATTGCGCTGTCTTGTTAGGAAGACGCTGACATATTTCAACTCATAAACGACTCCGAATCAGATTGTTGTACATTCAATTCTGAGAGTGGCATTGAGGAAAGTGAATCAGAGATTGATTTCGACGAAGACCCATCATCTTGGTCGGCAACCTGGGGACCACCACACCAGCATGGCAAGAGGAGTGTGAATAATTATTCAGGTGGAGCTGTGGGCAAACTGTGGCAAACAGTTATAGCATCTGTCGTCGAACCTGGAAATGGACAAATAAACTATTTTTCCATCTCCTGGATCTGAACAGTTACATCCTGTTGTCACACAGAGAATTTCGTCTCGCTCTTGTGCGGAACATGTTGGAAGGGGTCCACCTCGCCATCAACGGCCCAGGGCTCGAACCCCTGCCATTTTATCGGAGATATCTCGATTATAGGAGGCCAAACCACATCGCTGGCCAACTTCCTCTACTTCGCAATTGAGGTGTCATGTGTGCTTTTCGCATGGGAAATGAAGAACCGTCTAGACAAAGTGCGTGAAGTGCGACGTTGGACTCTGGATTTCCGGATGTTTCCAAGATTTCCACACGAAGCCAACTTCCGTCAGACAACGCAGGTGGGAAGAGAGACAACTTATAAAGCTGGTGACCAAAAATCATGTAAGTAGAAAAAGAATTTATAACTTAAAATTAGATTTTAAAAAGCCGGCCGCACGCGTGGACTGCGCGATGACATATGGCGTCATTCGTCCCCTTGACTTTATTTTCATGACGCCATATGGTGTCGCTCGGCTCTTAAAGGTTAAAAACGTCAGTTTCCTTGTGTGCTAAATCGTACATAATGAGTAAGAAATTAGGTCAGGGTATAAGTCTACACTCACAGACAAAGCAAGTAATTGCAAATGTATATAATTACTTAATGTTTTTCTTTGCATGAGGAGTGACAATATATTTGTAATATTGTAATATGCTCTTCAAAAAGAGAATAGGGTGGTTTCAGTGAAACACGAGGGGTCAGTGAATGTGGAAGAGCGAGTATTAAGAAACTCCTCCCACCACAAGCTATGCGCGGCATTCGACTAGGAATGCGGGGCCTTGTTCAAAGTTACGTGACACTGTCTATAACATCATTTATTTTCACACATAAATTGTAGAAAACAAATTAAATAATGAGCAACATTTATTTGGGATAATGTCATTTAACCATTAATTTTTTTAACAATTTTATGCCCTACAGCAGTGTTTGTATGAAGTATATTATGAAACATGGTTGAGTGAATTCTGTGACTAGTCTGTTATGGGTTTATTTATGGAGCCCTGATGGTGTAGATGATGTAAAGTCTTACTGCATCGCATTTACCAGTGAATGACAAGTCATATAGACAAATAAGATCTAGAAGTTTGTGATGATGGCACATCAGTACAAATATTATGTTTTTGGACATTATCCCTTGCCATATTTATTTTTCAAAACACAACTTTTCAGAGACTGGATTCTGTCTTTGTCTTCAGGTAAAGCCTCCTCAGTTGGGCCCAAATGATAGAGCTAGCCTGGAGATAGGTGCATAATATTTGTACTCAAGTAGACAAGTTCCTAAGGTGTGAGCACAACAACAATTCAAAAGATAACCTCCAAGCATTTACAGACATGCGGCAAGTCTTTTCTTTATGGTGCTCCTATATGTCTGATTTTTATTCAGATGTGCCAAGATTTAGATGAAAGTTCAGCCATTGATTTAGTTCTCTGTTGTTAGGTGCAAACATGACTTCTGCTGTACATAAAGTTATACTGTGAAAATGTAGGGTTAATAAGTCCTAAATGTGGGATGCGAGTGCATTGCAATGTCACGATGTAACAAATCATAGTTCTTATGTTTCAGATTCCTTTTTGATACTCCAAGGCAATTGCATATAACATGACTGGCATTGCTTTGTAACTGATTTTGCAGTGTTCCCAAATTGATACATTTTAATGGTTTATATGGTGTAATATAAAAAACAAATTATTTTGTGGCTGTGCCTTTCTGCTACATGCGATCACAGTGTTTTATCCTGAGGGACTGGCCAGTCCTACAGGTTTTATTTCCTGAGTGGCTTGGAAATGATGTTAATTGAGGGTAAGCCTGGGTACACAAGCTTATAGGTTGATGCCTGCTCGAACACACAAGATATACAGATCTGATTTTATTGAATATGGATGTTGAATAAGATGTTTAAAAATTTAATGGCATTGAATACTGAGAAAGCAGTTTTCCTGCTCTTGTAGAGTTACGTAAATGTCCATTGTACTCCATTGCCATGCTCTGTGATGTCAGTGATGGCTTTTTTTTATGCAGTTTGATGTAACAAGTCAGTGAATTTTGTTTCTAGATTCTTTCATCCATTTCAACCCTTTCTCTGTCAGAGTCCACCATCACCAAACCTTGGCCATTCTCACCCTTACCCTGTGAAGATGCAAGTGAAAACTTAGCCAATTTGACCCTTGCCATTGCTGCTTGTTTGAACTCTTGACAAAATAACATTCCATAAGTAAATTGGTTGGTAGCTGCCTGTCTTGTTTCAACAGTGTGATGATGAAACATTCTTGCAAGTATTGGTATTTCTTGAAACAAAGTTTAATGCAGTGTCTCAAAGAATATTTCTTTACGGAAAAACTACACATTCACTTTGATGCTGTTGATATTGTCACATAGTATTTAGTGACTAGGCACAGAATTTGGATTGATCATTGGATTTATTGAATTGTATACCTCATAATTACATTTACTAATGTAGCACTGTTGCTAGTTTATGCAGTTTACAGTTCACTATGGCATACACTAAGTCTTCTCAGTTTGTCTTCACTAGTGGTTGCCTGGTAATGGCCCCCAACACCATAGATTCCTCAGCTTGTGTGTTCACATCCTTAGTGGCTGGTGACTGTCTCACTCAGCTGGCTTGGGTTCCTCAATGTATGGCCTTGGAGTGGACCCAGCAGAAAGCACGGCTTCCAGCATGTCTTCAATTGTGTGTGTATTCATTTTTGTGGTCATCTGATTTGGATGCTGTGGCAGCATGTTTACTCTGCCATCCCTTGCAGTGGCAGTCTCTTCTAGCTCCACTATTCTGGCCTTTTCAGCCATCGTGTTACATTATGGCAGTATTCACTTAGACACTTCATAGAAAAATTACAGAGGATTGTTTTACTGTATAGAACTTATTATTTAATTTCTGATGGGGTGTGTGCATCCAGGTTAGTCAAAATTTCACCAACATTTTGGGCTGGTCATTGAAAATTTCGCAATTTGTGGTTTCAGTTTCTCCTGGAGCACCTGTCTGAAAAATCATAACTTATTTACCTCAGGTGAAATGTTTTGAATGTAATCATATAACATACTACAAACTTTGGTTAGTCTTCGTTTGGCTACTGCAGTGGTCGGCGAACCGGGGTAAAAATGAAATTCTTGGGGGTAATGAGGACTCAATAGACATAAATGAAATTATATAAAAAACGTGTTCCTTGTTATGACAGAAATTTTTCTTCCGGCATATAACCATCCATAACAACGGCTGCTACGGAAATTGTTTAAGAGTCTATCATGGCAGCGTGACGTCATCACTAAACACTTCTATAGATAAACGCGCCCAGCATGTTGTGGACGTTAGCATTAGTTGTGGCTCGGCAGCCAGCAGAAGCACACGTCTTGTATACATCATTTTGGCCTAGTCACCTATTTTTAATCTTATGCTCAAAAACTTCGACGATCAAGGTAAGATAGTGTCTTGTTAGCAAGGATTTACTATCAATAAATTGATTCATTCATTATTTAATAAGCAAGCGAAATGAAGTTTTTTATTAAACCGACGCACTATCATTTATGTGCAGTAGTAGCAGTTTGATCTTGTCACACTGAATCGGTAATTTCGTGTTATAGTACATGTGCAGCTAACTGCCTGAGCTATGGTGCGGCCTCCAGTACTGACTTACACATATTGTACATGCGGAGGTTTCCTCCACATTACGCGTGTCCTCGTGTAACTATAAGAAACGCGTGTGCTGAAGGGTTAAAACTTTTTGAATCACTGTCTTTTTTTTACCCCTCAAATGACATCAACTAGAAAACGAATATACCAGAAGAGTTCCTCAATTATGAGTTTACACAAATAGAAGACAAAGGAATAATGAAACCACAGTGTGTTGTCTGTGTGAAAGTAGTGACTACAGAATCTTTCAAAAAGAGTCAGTTGAAGAAACACTTGAATAATTTGCACCGACACCTGTCTTCCAAACCGCGGGAATACTTTGTAAATTTGGAAATGTCTGTCAAAAACAAAGACTGAACAGCAATTTGAGAAGTACATTCAGCATCAAAAGCCAGCTTTCAAGTGGCCTGGTTGATTGCCTGAAACAAGAAACCACATTCTATTGGTGAGCAATTGGTTAAACCAGCAGCTTTGAAAATGGCAGAGATTATGTGTGGTCAGAAAGAAGCTGCAAAACTAAATTCAGTGCCCTTGCCTGCAAAAGTTGTGAAAGAAAGAATTTCTATTTTAGCAGAAAATGTGAGGGAACAAGTTATTTCTTCAATAGAAGAGAGTAAATGCTTTGCTATTCAGCTTGATGGAACTACAGATGTCAGCAGTAATTCGCAGCTGATGGTGTATGTTCGCTACAAAGGTTTACATGCAATTGAAGAGGAGTTGTTGTTTTGTTCTCCCCTCAAGTTGTGATCTTGTGGAATTGATGTCTTCAGTAAAATTAATGAATGCTTTAATAACGCTAATTTAAAGTGGGAAGACTGCATTGCTTTGTCTGTTGATGGAGCTCCAGCTATGTTGGGTCATGTTAGTGGTTTTTCGGCTTTGGCGAGAGAGAAAAATCCAAAAATTGAAGTTAACCACTGTATGATCCATCGCCAGGCACTGCTTGTGAAACGTTTGGAACCTGCACTGGAAGCAGTCATGCATGATGTTATCAACGTTGTCAATGTCATCAAAGGACATGCACTAAACATGCGACTTTCGTGAATTATGTACAGATGGGGAGGCTGAATATACAGACCTACTTTATCATACAGAAGTGAGGTGGCTGTCACGTGGAAATGTTCTGAACTGAGTGTGGGTTCTCAAAACTGAACTTGAAATTTTTATGGTTGATCAAAAGCATGTTCTCGCAGATAAGTTTACAAACTCCTCGTGGGTTGCACATCTCACATATTTAGCTGAAATTTTTGAGTATGTGAATGCATTGAACAAAGAATTGCAAGGAAAAAACATCAATATAATTTCAGCCAGAGAAAAGATTTCAGCGTTTGGATCAAAGCTTTTATATTGGAGACAGAAAGCAGAACAAAACAAGATTGCTGCCTTTTCAAGGTTGGCTTTGTTTTTGGAAGATTGTGAAAATATTACTTTTGATGACATCAAGGACACAGTTATAAGGCAATTTACCAAACTCAAAAAGCGGTTCGATGATTACTTTAGAGATCTTGATTCGCATAATGTCAGTTGGGTTGTAGATCCCTTTAAATGTGAAATTGCTGATGTACCAGAAGAGCCTCAAGGTTTGGCAGAGACACTTCTTGAACTTCAATCCAATAATGAAGCACATATTGAATTTGAAAACAAAGCAGATCTGTCATATTTTTGGATGTCAAGAGCTGCAAATTCTTTCAAAATGGCACATGAGGAGTCAGTCAAAAAGTTGCTGCCCTTTGCAACAACCTACCTTTGCGAACAAGGATTTTCCACTCTACTAAACATAAAAACAAAGCAGAGAAATCGATTGGACCCCGAAGACAGTATGCAAATTGCTCTGACATCAAAATGTCCCAATTTTGATGTTATTGTATCAAAAATGAAACAACATCATTTCTCCAAAACCTGAATTGAAAAAATTTTCTAAGAAATATTTTGTTTCATAATGAGGATATTAATTTACTTGTATTTTATCGCATTTATTTTATAATTTTTATATTTATAATTGTATTCTCCATATTCAATAAACTTTTTGAATTTGAATAATCTATGATTTTCTCTCTTTCAAATCAAGGGGGTAACGTCGGCGTAAATAAATATATTTTGGGGTAATAAGTAAAAAAGTTCCCCGACTCCTGGGCTACTGCGTCATGGTACAGAAAAAACTGGGGCCCTATAGTCCTCAGATTATTGATGCTGGATGCTGGATTAGGATGCTGGAGGAATAAAAGCATGTAGACTGAACAGAAGTCTGTTAGTTGGTTGTGTTGGACATTGAGAATGAAATTGAAGTCCACTGTAGTAAGGCGACTGGATTTTTCAGCCTCAGATTTGGGACACCTCATAAATGTTGAGGAGGGGTGTAAAATTAGGCCATTGAAAAGTTTAATTTGTATAGTCATATGAAAAATAGTTCATCTACAATGAAAGTCTATTATATACAGTAAAAGGAGAAACTACTGCTAAGATCAAACTGTTATCATCCTTTAAAAATAAGAAGAATCAAAGCTGTTGTATTTTTCAGAATTTTGAATTTTCTTAAGGAGATCTTTCCGTGTGAGAGCACTTTAAACAACCCAAACAGGTTTCATCATAGTTTACTTTGGTCACTAACATTGCCTTCAGAGTGTCCACACCAAGCTGAGTTTTGTTGCTGGTCCAAATGGTATTCATGAAGGAAAATACCCTTTTAGTTGCTGAACTGGTTACAGGAAGGCAGAAAAGGAGCTCTGCTTACTTAGGTACTTTGAGAAAGGAACATGGTTTTTGTTGAAGTGAGAGACCATTTAAACCTGCCTTTGAGATGACACAGTTTCGTTTTCTGTCCACTGGGAAACTTTTTCTTTGGTTACAAACTGCTTCACACAGACACACTCATCATACATTTCAGTTTTGGCTGACTGAACAGACGGTACAGTTTTAGTCACAAGAAATTCTCTCAGTGTCTGCCCTTTATATTCAGGTCAAAGAATAAGCCATGCAAGCAACCAGCTATGTTATTTCATGCTGGTGTCTTGTGCTTGGCTTATTCGACCCTGTAGATGGAGGCGACATGTTCAACCAAATGGTCTGTTGACTTTCAGCTGACTTCACAGCATTATATCCTAGAAGAAAGAACTCTTCATCCTTCACTTTACTCCAAGGGAGGACGGTATAAGCTATTTTTGATTGGCCATCAGACTCCTTGTGGCACTCCAGGAAGCTGGCCATCAGACTCCTTGTGGCACTCCAGGAAGCCATCCATTCCTGCAAGAGACTTCTTGCATTGGTCCTTGGAGCTGTTGTGGGTGGGGCTACAGTCAGCACTGTCTTTCCATTCCTAATGGTATCCAGCCTCCATTTCATATAAAGTGGGTCCTGTGTCTTCTTCAGTCATCTCTTCTCATGGTTATTGGTTTCCAGGCTTCTACAGATACAGGTGGATTGGCCCGCACCTTCTTGATGTTTGCTAGTGCCTTGATTTGTTAGCAGTGAGTACACTCTTCCCAGCACAGTATTCGAGATAGAGCATTGGGATTGTATATCTGGCCTTGACAGTGCTCGGTGGTGGTGATGTATTCTTGGGGGCTCTGCATCCAGTACGTCCGCTTACCCTCGAGATTCTTGAAACAAGTGAGCCAAGTTAGCATGGGGTGGTTAACTTAACGTCCATATATTTATTGTCTATCAATATTGCAACACTTGTTTTTCACCACTTAATCC